CGTTTCACTACCAAAAAAAAACACGGAGGAATTTGTGGTTTATGTCATTTTTGTTCACACTGCAGTTCACTTTGTTAGGGACTGTTACACTATTTTGTAATTAAAAAATAGACACTTCATATCAGAGAACTCGGGTCACTGGACAGCTCTTGACTAGTTCAAAAACCTTTAACTAATTTAGAATATAAAGGTATTTTAAGCCCCTTTTAGACCTGAGAAATTGTAAGTTTTCATTAAGATTTCATCATGTATATTTGTTTACTTTTTGCAGCTTATTATTCTGCAAAAGTCAACATTTTCTTTTTTTCCCTGCAATATGTTCCCTTTTTCTTCCCCTTTTTTAATATTACATATATTATTTTATTTTATTTTATTTTGTAATCTCCAGCAGCTCTTTCTGCGAGGCACTGAGCAGAGGGTTCTGAGCAGGGGTGCCCGCTAGGTGAGGGGAGGGCTGGGTCTGGAGCCCCCCAGCTCGTTGTGGGGCCGTGCTGCCGGGAGAGCAGGAGTGCCAGGCCAGCATTCCCAGCGGGCCGGGGAGGGCAGCGGGCCGGGCAGGGGCCGCCGCTCACCTGCGGCGGGGCCGGCGATCACAGGCAGGGACAGGGCACGATCCTGCCCCGGGCCGGGGCTCGCTGCTGCTGCCCCGCCTTGTCAGCAGCGGGCACAGGCAGAAAAAATACCATTGCCCTCGGTTACGAGCTCTGTACGGCAAAAAAAAGAGGGGGAAATGTTGGAAGATAAACAGAATTGCGTCGGTAGCACCCTTAAAATCCTGCTGATGCAACACCCCACTTAATGCCTCCTTTCTTAAAGAAAAAAAAACCAAAAAACACCCACTTGTCCTCCTGCCAGAGTTTCACTTATGTTGGTACCAGTTTAACGCCATAAAACATCATTGTTAAAATACAGTGTACCGGAGGAAGTGTTTTTGCAAAATGCTTCATTATGTTTTGAAGGGAAGGGTGTGGAAATATGTCCTTATTCAGCTTGCCTTTACAGTTCGGATCTTTTAGAATTGTCTGTTTGGGATTTCAGTGGTTTTCCCCCGTGATTAATGGGCCACTGATCCATTGGAATTAATGCAAGTTATGCAACAGTAGACAGAACTTTCCCAAGTAACCTGCCTGCTGTGTAATCACTGTCCTCTCTCTGGTGTGCACCAGCTGTGATCCTACTGAGTGTCTGTGGCTCCTTTGGGAGCGATGGGCAAGACTGCTTTGCTTTTACAGATGGATTTTAGTAATTATTATTTTTAATTCCTGGAGAGTACCTTTAAAAAGAAAAGCTCTCTAAATGTTAAGTAAAGCTATTCTTAGCGATGCACTGGAATTATAACATGCATTGGAATTATTTTAATGGTACAATAAAAAAAAAAGGAGAATTTATACTTTTCTGGATAACTTAATCCTAAAAAAAAAATGTTTGGTTATATTATTTTTTAAAAAAACAAACATGTACCTGATAATGTTTTATTATTATTTATATTATTTATTATTTTATTAATTATTATTTATATTTCTGGTGGCTGCTAGATTAGAAACCACCCCATACTGTAAATTAACTATATTGTCTGGAAAGCAAAAAAGTCTGTTCAGAGGTGACCTCAGTGTGGATGTCTGTATCAGAGCAAACTGAGAGTGAAGAACAAGAGATGCTACTCTGAGTTAAAACAGAAGCAAATGAATTAGTGTTCAGCAGGAGAATTTATAATGAGTTTCCGATAGGCAGAACTTGTGATAAAGGGAAAGAGAGAGGTTATAGAATTATGTAATAGTATAAACTGTGGTGTGAAAATACTGGCTTGCTACTATTTACATAATTTGAGTTTATTCAGGCATACTGACTCTTAAAATATTTCCTCCACTTCCCTCTTCGGAATTCCATTTCTGTTAAGTGAAACTTACTGGTTGGACTTTGTGTAATTGTTTTCCTCTTTCCCGAATCCTTATTTTTTAGTACTGTGGTAACGTAAAGTTAGACAACTTTCAGTGCAGTTTGCCCAGGGTGGTGACAGACGGAACACGTTAATGTATCTCCTGAGCAAGGGCAGCAATGGGAGAATTCGAGCCCTGAGTGTGGAAAGGCGAGGCACTTGGAACCCTCCGGAGGCACCACAACTGTCCCTGTTAGGAGCGGGCAAAAGCAGGGAGGAACCACAGCTGTTTGCACGTTTATACAACAGTGACAAATCAGGGGTAGGCACAGAGAGTAAAGAAAAAGGAGATCGATATTTCATATAGAAAGCATACAAATAAATAAGGAGCTAAAGTGTCTGATAAACAGGGTGGAAAGTCATTCAGAAAGCTGATTAAGTACAAGTGAAACACTGTGAACTAAGCTCCTTGTATACTTAAGTCCAATCCTTCCCTAAAAACTAGGTCTGCCTGTTATTTTACATTGACATTAAAAGTTGTTGCCTGCACTCTCGCATGTAATCTCTTTTTTTCTGGGCAGGGTTAACATTCTCATTTGTGCATGTTCTGTTAAAATAAATACTATCAGGAATGTCATGCCATTATTTTTAAACAAAAATGATAAGAGTTTTAGCTGGACATTATGGCTGGCTGCTGCTGAGGCTGTTATGCAGAAATTTTGCTTGCTTTTACTTTTTAACCATCCAGGATTTAGGCACACATATCCTCTGCATCCACAGTCTATATGCAATAGAGACCAAAGTTATTAGAAGAGGTCAGAATTACTAGGTGTCATTTTACCAAAATAAAAATTTGTGGTAAAGTTACTGTTTAAATATCTTGTCAACTATGTCCTGATAATCTTTAGTATGCTTTTACTGTAATTCCCTAAAAATAAATATTAAAAACATTTTGTGGTTTCACACCATTAAAAAAAAAAGTTGGTAAGGGTAAGCCATAAAACATATATTTGGCTTACAAAAGGAAATGTTTATTCTCCTCCGAATGCCAGCGGTTGAGCATTTTCTGGAGATCTGAGACCGGAGGGAAATGTGTAGCAAAGATTCCCTCACTGTGGCACTGCAGGAGTCACGGACGCTGGGCACAGCCAGCTCCAGGAGAGCCACCCGTGCCCCCTGTGCCTCCTGGCTGGTGCTGTGCCCTGGGGGAGCAGAGGGGCGGCAGTCAGGCCTGGGCACAGCGAGCTGGGCTCGGGGCTGTGCCGCTCCAGCCCTGCCACAGGCTGTGCCCGCGGCCCCAGCGGCTGCCCTGCCCCCTGGGACACCTCGGGCACGGAGGGAGCCTCTGTCAGCAGCCTGGCCACGGCTGGGCATTTCCCTGCTGCACTCAGAACAGCCTAGGAGGCTGTGGGAGAAGGGAGTGCCTCCTGGAAAGAGTCTCTGACTCGGGAGCCCTCTGCTCCATTCCGCAGGGCTCTGTGCTGGAGAGCAGCCTCTTGGGGTGGGATAGAGACTCACGTCTGTGAGTTCCATTGCAGTTTTTCCTATCACCTCGTGATCAATGTTTAGGGGAATAAAAGATCAATTAATATATTCTTTTTCCTGAAGAATATTTTACAAACTCTTAGAAACACACGGTATTGACTTTTCTGATCAGTTGGAGCTGCCTAGATGCTTTGAAAGTACATCAGGAAAGCAATGATAGCATAAGCAAAATCAATAGGAAGTAAGAGGGACAACTATGACTTTCCTTAAGTAACTATGTAATCCCTTTTTTCTTACAGTAACATATTTTCCACAAAGAAGACTCTTCAAGGTTGAATCCAGTACAGTCTCCTCCCTCCCCCTTCCTCCCCCCCTTGAGTGTAGGGCAAATCAAATGCTTGACAACATTTTTTGTTAGGAAAGCACACGAAAAAAAATTTTGAATATACCAATAACAGCAAAAGTCTCTATATTTTTATTGCAAGAAGGAGCTTTCATTGGCTGGGTGGAATGGCGAGATGTGACGCAGAAGGACACTTGGACGGTGGAAATGCTGATGTATGCCAAAGCAGGCGCACCAAGAAATGCTGTTGCTATGAGAGAAACAGGGAGAGGGAGGGAGGGAGGGACAGACCGTGAGAGAGCAACTTGTGGAGGCCTTAGTTTTCCTTTTTGGCTTAGAGCAGAGGGGCTGCAGCGTCTCCCGTTCCTAGCAGAGAGGGTTTAGGAGCTTCCAGTGGGTATTTTCATCAGGCATTTAGAGGAAGGGAGGTTGACAAGAGAGATGCAGGTCACCTTAGAGTACAAAAGCAATTGGAAGGTAGGAGGCTGGATGTACCGAGCCAATGATCTGTGCTATGATAGATACACAAATTAGTACCGCAGATGAAGCAGCTTAGCTCATTATCCACCTGAGGGTACTGAGACTTACAATTCAAAATGACAAAATTAAAATGCAGACACACACAGACATATATTTATAATGACCCCACCTTTTCATCTTAGGAATTATCCAGCTGGGATACCGACGTCTCTTGTGTAACATTCTTAAAGAGCTGCGATAAATTCACCTTTGAGTCCATTAGCCAGAAAAGGGGGAAAATAATTTGCAGGAATTTTTTTTTTGTGTGTCTCTCTTCTTCGGCAAAGGGGAAAAAAGTTTGTGCTATGAACTTAGCCGAGCAGCTTCTGGAACGTGAGCCAAAAGGGGCAGGAAGTTGTTTTACAATAGCGTTACAGTGATCTGCCACAAATGGAAAAAGCCAAATGTTGGACTCGGCAAAGAGCAAAAACATCCTTCTCCCCCTCGCTTGCCTCCTCTTGCCCCGTAAGAGAGACAGAGGGAAGGGAACGCTGAGCTAGAGGTTCTTTTTCCTTTTTTAATTACTGCTTGTAAGTAATGGAAAGATTATCTTACTTGCATATTCCATGGCAAGCACGAGGGAAAGAAGTATCAAAGGGACGTTTAAAAAAATGCACTTGGTAACTAGCAACGGGACTTTTGGCACAATTCCTTGAGTTTGCTTGAGGTTATGGAGGGGGGATGGGAAGAAGAAAAGCGAGTCGATGCGGTACGTTTTCTTTGAAAAGGGGGGGAGAATGGAGGCAAAACTATATAAAACTTTTTTTTTTTTTTAAGGAAATGTGTGTTGATCCTCTGAAGCCGAATCCTCAGGCATTTGTGGCCCGTCCTTGCAGCCCGGTATGTTTTTTGTGAGTGTGTGCGAGCGCTCTCAATCAAACAGCAATCATGGCAGCTGTTTTTCTTCCAGCACAGCAGTTGAGCTGTCTCGCCCAAATGCTTATCAGCTTTTGACTCGGTGCCAAGAGAGTTATAAGGGCCAAGCAGCCTGAGCTTGGCTGTGCAGCTGGTTTGGAAGTAAGGGCATGAGAAAACAAAATCACAAAGTTTTTTTGTCACATACAGTATTTACTTTTTCAAATAGCCATTTTCAGCTCGGTGGGTTGGGGCTGGTTTTATGTGTGTGTGTGTGTGTGTGCTGCAGTCCGCGGTCCTTGCGGGCTGCTGTGCGACACAGAGCCGTGGAGGTACGTGTGAGTGTAAAGGGGAGCCTCTCCTCTCCGTATGAATCCCGGCAGTATTTCCGTAGAAACCGCCCCAGCTTCCCCCCCGTGAAAGCTTCGTTAGCCGCACTGCCCTGTCAAGCACACTGCCATAGCGTGGCTGCACTGACGTTCCAGCGCAGCGCCTTTGCTCCCTCCGCTCCCTCCCTCCGGGTCCCCATCGCGGCCCGCGGGGGTCGCGGCGGGGCCGGGCTCGGTGCCGTCCGTGTGCCCGTGGCTGCGGGGGATGGAAGGAGCCTGCCCGCGCAGGGCCGTGCCGCTTTCATCATCAGCTCCAGCCCGCTGCGTTTCGCTGGCTCACGTCCTCCTCCTCCTCCTCCGCCAGACTGCTCCAGTCGCTCACAAGGGGGAGGCCGGACTCTGGAAAGGCGGCCGCTGCTCGCATTCCTGCTGCAAGGGCCTCCCCTTCAGACGGCCTTTGCCAGAGCAGAACTTTTAAAAATGCTGCAAATAGGATCTTCTTTTTCCTCTGCTTGCCTGAGCCCTCCTCTCCTCTCCCAGCGTTCCCGAGCGGGGCTGGTTCTCGCTTCTCCCGCGCTGTACATCCCACTGCGGAGGGCAAAGCGCCCAGGGCTCGCCCGCTGCTCATCCTTTTCCCTCTCTCCCTTTTCCCTCCGTTGAGGAAATGGATTCCTTTGCCTGAGCAATGACTCGGGCTTTGCTGGTTCGTGTGCTCTGAGGATGAAGGCTTTTACTTGTGATTTTCCTCCCCCGGCTCCCAGTGCGCAGTGCTGCTCGGGGAACGAGCCTCTCGCTGCCTTTCTCTTTCTCTTTTATAGAAATATATTTTTAATGGCTGTAGGTATCTGCGCCATGTGAAATAGGGCGGGTGATATCCCTCCAAACCCTCGTAATTGGACCATGGCTGGAATGGAAATATTGGGGGGGGGGGGGGATAGGGGGTGCACAGGCTGCTTCGTCCTTGCAGACCTCCCCCCCTCTCTTCTCTGCCGAGGAGGGAAAAGGGGATGTGCAGTAAAATGCCGTCTCTGGGACAGGTGCCAGCTCCTAGACAAAAGAAGTAGAATAGGCGGTAAAGGGGGGGGGGAGATTAATAGGCAACAAAAATAGGAACCGAAAATCTCCGAGTGCAGCGCTGGCGAAAGGGCTGGTGCCCGACCGGCCTTTTTGCTGATTATTTTCTGTGCGATGGGTGGGAAGGAGAAAGTTGCGGCACACTTTTTATTCCCGTCTCCCCTGCAGACGTTTGGGAGCGTGAAGGGAGGGTGGAGGGCGCCTTTTTTTTTTTTTCCCTCCCTTCTTCTTTTCCCTCCTTTCTACTGAATTATTCATAGTGTCAGTGGTGAAGCCAGGACTATTAGCATGCATCAGACATGCTGTTTGTCTGTTTGCTAACATTCTTCATTCAAGACTTGTTAACTACCAGACAAGCTTAACACGCTTCTCTTTTTCCCCTCCCCTCCTCTCTCCCTCCGTCTCTCCCCCTCCCTCCCTCCTTCCCTCCCTCCCTCCTCTGGCTTCTCCCTTCCCTCCTGCCTGCCCTGCTGCCTTCCCTTCCCTTCTCCGCCGTCCGTGCCACCCTCGCAGCCGCCCATTGTTGCCGCGGGGCGGGTGCGGGTCTCTGGGCGAGGCCCTGCCCGGCCGCGCCGCCCGCGGGGACTGCGGAGCCGCATCCAGCCCTGCCGGGTAAGCTGCTCCCGCCGGGGCGCGGGGGATGCCAGCCGGGAGAACCAAGTTTGGGAACTACGTGGGGATCGGCACATTGGCTCGCGTCTGCCTGCGCATTTATGATTAACCAGGAGTGCGGGATCAACCCGGCGAGCTCCGCGCTCGTGCGGGAGGATTGCTTTGCTGGCGATTAGGGATGTGATAGACTAATATTTGCTATTGTTGCTGTTTTTTAGGTTCTCTTCTCCTTCTCTATCGAGTCTGCCCCTCCCTTCGCTAGCCTGTTTAAAACCAGCAAGCTTCATTTTCTTAGCAGACAAAGGTCGCTCACAGCTTTTATTTCTGAATGCAAATGTTCTAGGACTTGTGCCAGTCCTGCCTTCATTGAGCACAATATAGCTGCTTTCCTGAATGGCGCTTCCCCCTTCCCTTCGAGAAAAAAAAAGAGAAGGGAGCTTCAGAGAAGAAGCAAAGTTGGGCGGTGCGAGTTTTTACATTTATTTAATATTTCAGCCTGTGTGGAGCATTATTGAGCATCCCTGTGCTGAGCAGCTCCAAGGCAGCCGCCAGCCAGTGCGTGGGGTGTGTTTGTAGGGGCACACACGAGAGAGGGGCCGCGGCCGCATTGCTCAACTCCTGGCTCTGCAGGTAACTACGGGATCATCTTCAGTCACTGTACCTCAGCACAGTTGGGCTTCCTGATTTTCCTAGCAACGTGAATTTGGACATAAGTATTCGCAGGGTTCGTATTTAAATTTTGTAATACCTGGAATTGTTCGGGATCGGTTTGTAATTGCCATCTTTATCAGATATTTTTAAAAACTATTTTTCCAGGCCTTTAAAGGTCCGTAAGTGCCATAAGTGTGTTTTCTCTTTATCTTCTACGTGGGCACACGGGCACACGCTCACGCGCACTCCCACTCTCTTTCTCTTCGGGTGTTAATGAAGGAATTTATTTTAAGTAGAACACTTAAATATTAGAATAATACCATTTATAGACCAAAACAGCATGTGGACATGGATGTTCTGAGTTAGGCACAATTTGACAGATGGTTAAATGCTTTAGATTTATTACTACTATGAAATTGGCCGACCTATGATAATACTTACTTTGAATTCTTTATATAGACAAGTCCATGTGCAAATTAAAGTACCTGGAAATTAATATATTTTAAAGATACTTTACGAGGAATCTATTCCTTTTGTATATATTTCTAAAATAAAATACTTTTTCTACACTGGAAAAAAATGGGACACTTCTGTAAATTATTTTAACCTTTTAATTTTATTTATGTCTAGGATTTAAAGCAAATAACTAAAGAAATGCAAATAAGTTTGGGGGTTTTGTCCACAAAACAAACAAACAAAAAACCCCTAACCCCTACAAAATAATTGGAAAATACCTAGTGCTTATACACAAATAGTTTTAAATTCGGGCCACTGACAGCATTGTACCAAAATCATCTCAGTAGTGGCTTTGCATTAGGAGTGTTTTATGGCAACATAAACTGAAATACAACTCATAACTGTAAGTAGTAAAACAGTATTTATTGGCTGATCACTCCAAAAGTAGCTGGAGAATGTTTTAGTGAACTGTGTAGATTAAGAAAGGAATTTAGGAGCATATGGCTTGGTGATAGCTAAAATTAATTTCTTCGAAGGAGTTTTTAGAGGCCTGTAGTAGCTACACAGTACAGTGCAGATAAAATATTAGTTGAGGGTTTTAACTCGCAGTCGTTATAAAATCATAAACTGCTGAACACTCCTCACTGAGAAATTTCAGAGTGCTCGGTGGTATTGCTCCTAATGATGCCGTTTATCTAAAGAGGATTTTTTTTATCCTTAGGTTGTAATACTTGGGGGGCTGTTTTGTTGCTGAGGACTAGCAGTTAAAGGAATATAAAATTGCTTCTGGTGTATTAGTTCATTATTTTGTGGTGGCTTGCTAGAAATGATGTCTCTGAACATAAAATGAGCAGAATTGCCTGGTTCATTTCGCGGGGAGGATTTCTGTAAGCATGCTGAAAATGAACACAGCAGTGCAGGAAGACCATGTGCGTGTTAATTGAAGAGGGATTAAAATCTGTTCATTAGACTGGTGATCTCCAGGTTTCAAAATTAAAATTATTTTTAGTCTGTAATGTGAAATATAACTGCAGATAGAACTCTTCAACCCCTCAGATGAATGCCTTCAGGAATTATGCACGTGAGCTGGAGCATTTACATTTTGAAAGTGTTTTGTGTTGGACTGCCAAGATTCTCGTACAAAATGTTTGGTGCACAGAATGAAAAATTAGAAGCATAGACAATACTTTGCTTAATTAAAATATTATTTTTTTTAATAGCTGGCTAAGATGAAGTTTTGCATATTTTCAGATAATAATTGAGGGAAACAGTGAAAATAATCTAAGATGCACTGGTTTTGCTCCCAACTCCGTCTTTCTCCCTCATCCTCCGAATGGATATTTGTCCTTCAGAAGGATATTTTAGGTGTTGCTGATAAGTGAATGATCCATTCTTAACCTCCCACCTATCCTGTCTTTTACCGAGTGCTAGTGAGCGGGGAACACGAGGGCAAGGTCCATGTGTTCCAGGCCTGGCAGGAGCGCCGTGCTCCGTGCGTGGCACAGCGGCGATCCCGGGGGAGCGGGCTGATCCCGGGGGAGCGGGCTGATCCCGGGGGAGCGGGCT